AAAGAAAGAAAGAAAGAAAGAAAGAAAGTTTCCAAAAAATCTGAAAAAAATATATGTGATGTAGAAGAATAAACTAAACAACTTTTGCCTCAACAGTACATCCAAATTCGTTACTAAACTTGAAATAAAAATCAAATACGAAAAATAAATAATATTACAGAAAATAAGAAAAAATAAAACCAGAATGAAATTATTGCGTGGGCACGGACGTTTTTGACATCGCCATCGTTGGCGATTTTTCATTTTTTCACAGCCAAAAAAAAATACACTCCAGACACAAGAGGAGCTGATATTAGTTAAGGGGGCGGGCATGACAGAAGCAAGGAGATGATATCAGTTGATCATACAGTCTGTACTCACCCACCTCTCTTGGTTCTGTCATGCCTGCCCCCTTAACTAACGGCCTACGCAGGTGTACAGCCTGCAGGGAACTAGTCGGACCCACCTCGCGCACAGGTAATCAAGCTGGGGTCCAACCCAACAGTATTGTTTATCAATGTCTCGTATGTCTCAAGAATTAATATGTAATGCCGCAGCACGATGGTGGCTCAAGAACTCCTTAACGTCGCAACGGGCCAATGTGGCCTACCAGCAAGACTCCTCTATCTCGTATGCTGAACTTGTGTGAACAGCACATGGAGGCATGCATGCGTGTACTGATCCCACATCATTATGCACCCCACCTCATCATCAGGGCCCTTCCCGTGCATCACCGTTCTCCTGTCATATATGCACAGGAGAAGGTGCATACTACATCAGGGCCCTTCCCGTGCATCACCGTTCTCCTGTCAAGTGGGATGAATCTCAATGTTGAACACCACTCGCACCTCACAGCTGAGATATCATTCAAGCAAAGCCCTCATCGTCGAGGTAAGCAGACAATTAGACAGAGATAAGGCTCTACGTACGTACCTATCCTTACCTTGCTTGATGAGTCACAAGCAATACAACTCACTGACTGGAATTATTGATGACATCATGGGATGCTCAGTCAAACAGGGTCAACGCTGTAGTACTAGCAAAGGTACCAAGGGTCCACAACCGATTAATGCTGACAAGTACCGCAACCTAAGAAATGACAGTCGCCGTTAGTCGCCATTAGTCGCTCTTATCACTACCAGTCTTCTTCACCCTTCCACTCATCTGCACCCTCCTCCTAGCAGACTAGCAACGGCAAACCACTGAAACACACTGCCCGTCAACGGTCAACGACACCTTGCGCTGTATCCTCACCAATAGGTGAGTGCCCAACAGCGAGCTGCACCAGTACCAATTTGCACGGAAACTGCACCGGGGAAACGCAAATTACAAGGACGATGGGCTCTCGTGGCCAGCATGCATATGGCGACCAGGAAATTAGCAGAATGACAAAGCAATAAATTAATCACATCAGCGCAGGAAATGCTAAAGTCTCTTGATGATGAAAAGCCCTCTGCCGCAGATGGTTAGTGACGGGCACAGAGGGCCCTGTTCTGAGTCATTTTGTCATTTCTGCCCCATTGCTATCATAATGTCAAACATTTTGCTTGAAAGTGAAGAGCAACCGGGCTGGTGCCCCCCAGAATAGATAGGGCTTCGGGTTTGTGCATAAAAAAAAAGGCAAAAGAAAGCCCTCTTCTCACCTCCCGACAATCAATACCGTAACAACAATGATAATAGCTCCCAACGATCTACTACATACCTAGTACCTACCTGTCTACCTATGTACCTACCTAGCTATCTTCTTTTCAGGATCCCTACCTATCTGCCTATCTGCCTCCCTATCTGACTACCTCTCTGCCTCCCTATCAAACTCCCTATCTGCTTCTGTATCTATCTCCCTATCTATCTACATATCTCCCTTCCTGTATACCTGCCTATCTACCTCCCTATCTGCCTGGTGATATACCTGCCTATCTACCTCCCGACCTGCCTCGCAGCCCCCTTCCCTGCCTGGGCTCCCTCCCTCCCTCACTCCCTCCCTCCCTCCCAACCTCCCTGCCTGCTTCCTTGCCTGCCTCCTGCCTCCTGCCTCCCTACCTCCTTTCCTGCTTCCCTGCCTACATGCCTGCCTGCCCCCCTGACTGCCTTCCTGGTTGTGTGCATGCCTGCCTCGCTGCCTCCCTGCATCCCTGCTCCCTTCCTCCCTCCCTGCCTCCCTGCCTCCCTGCCTATCTGCCGCTCAGCGCCCAACTACTGAAAGACGTTCCTCCTAGACCTGGACTCCCTAAGCTATTACAACAGGTCCCACGTGAAGATCATCAGGCCGATGCCGCAAGAAGAC